GGTCGGTGGACAAGCTGAGCGACGCCGAGATGGCGGAGAAGAAGGCACGGCGGGAGCCGGCGGCGGCGGCGGCGAAGAAGAAGTGGGCCGAGCTGGCCAAGAAGGGTGACTGGGACCAGGTGCGGATGCCCGGCAAATGCTTCAGGTTTGCCGAGGTGAAGGTTTCGCCGAGGCGCTCTGCGGAGTACAAGGCCAAGGTTCTGGAGGCGGTCGGGCTCGTCGGCGAGTGCGCGGGCTACAAGCACCTGGGCAGCCAGGAGCTGGAGGCGCTGAAGGAGATGATCAGCATGAAGGCCGAGGCGTTCTGGGTGAAGGGCACCGCGCGAACGGTCATGCGCGGCTTCAAGCACGACGTGGTGACGACCGGCTTGCCTGTGCGTGGGCCGCCGATCCGCCTGAAGGGCCCCGAGGCTTCCATCGTCCGCGAGGAGCTCGAGGCGGGCGTGGAACAAGGACTGTACTCCAGGGGGACCTCGCCCTGGGGCAGCTGGGCCTTTCCGACCAAGGAGCACGCGAGCGGCCGGAGGCGTCGGACCGTCGTGGACTACCGCATGGTCAACCGCAGGATGGTGATGTTCGTGTACTACATCCGCCGGTGCCGAGACGTCAAGGGCGAGCTGGTGGGCTGCGCCTTCATCTCCGGCATGGACGGCGCTCGCGGCTTCAACCTCCTGGTCAACACTGAGCACGCGAAGGAGGTCCTGGCTGTGCTGGCGGGCTGCGGCTGCTACCTCCCCGAGGTGCTGCAGCTGGGGCCAGCGACGGGGCCCTTCGACTTCCAGTTCTGCACCGACGAGCTGTTCACCGGCACCGGCCGCGGACGCTACGGTTCGGTTTGGAAGAACTACATCGACGACTTCTGGGTCAGGACGGGGCAGTGGCTGAACGGTCGCGCCTACACCGACCGAGAGCACGAGGAGATGCTGGCAGCGGCATCCCCCCCCCCCCGGCTGCCTCTCGCCCGCTGGGCGACTCGCTGGCAGCAGCCGGGTTCGCGGGGACTCGCAAGGCCAGCCAGAGCTACGACCACGCCAAGGGCGTGCTCGTGGGGCTGTGCGTGGCGCAGTCGGCCACGGGAGCGGCGGCCATGGACGGCGGCGGGGTTGCCTTGGCGAACGGCCTCCGCATGCTGGTGGTGGCTGCCGCGGTGCGCACGGCATCCTTGATGGATGAAGGGCTGCGCGCGGGCGTGCAGCTGACGCAGGACATCTTCGAGGCGGCCGGCGACCTGGTCCAGAGCGTCTCCTGGAACCTCAGCGGCCTCATCCACGAGGTGTGCGAGGGTGCGGTCCTGGTGGTGCGCGTCCTGGTCGTCGTGCAGTGCTGCTACGCTCTCTACTGCCTGCGCTCGTGGGTGGCTTGCCGTTCGCAGCGGGCGGCGCTGGAGCGGGCCGCCGCCGCCGGCGAGGCGGCTCAGCGCGGACTCACGTCCAGCGCGCGAGCCTGCGAGGCCGGCGACGGGCCCGCCTTCGGCCGCGAGCCGATGGCCAGGGCGGCAGCCGCTGGGAGGAGCCCGGGCGGGGCCCTCTCATCAGCAGATGGCGCCGCCAGCCCTGTGGTGGCGCTGTGGCGCGAGGCGGAGTTCGAGACGCCCCTGCTCGGAGCGGCGGCGCGCCCCCGAGCGGAGGTCCTCCAGATCCAGCGGAGCGCGGCGGTGGCGCTGCGGGACCTGGAGCACTCGGACCGCCAGCGCGCCGCGCGCGCGCGACCTGGCCGCTTGCGGTGCGGTGGTGTCCGCAAAGCTGGTGGAGGCTGCGCGCAGCTCAGCAGTGAAGGACGCGGGCGACCTGTGCGAGTTCGAGGTAGAGGTGGCCGGCAGCCGCGGCGTGCGGTATGATGTGCGGCTTCGCGCTGGACGCTTGGCCGCAGCGTTGATCCCCGCGTCGTGCACCTGTGCCGACTTCGTCGGCGGCGTCGGCAGCCCCTGCAAGCACATCGGGGCGGCCTGGTGCTGCGCGGTGGACGGCAACTTCAGCGAGCTGGTGGAGCTGGCGCTCGCGGCTGGCCGCAAGGAGGGAGCTGCCGCTGGGCCTCAGCGACGCGCGGCCCTGGCGCCGAGCGACTCCCTTGGCCTCGCGGGGGCCGTGCGGGAGCTCCGCGACTCGGAGGCCGAGGTCGTGCGCCTGCGCGAGGAGGTCCAGCAGCTGAAGGCGCAGCTGGGGGCGACCTCCAGGCGCGGAGCCGTGACCGAGTTTCTCTCGGCGTCGGAGACGCTGGCGGCTTGGGCGCGGGCTTGCGGCGAGGCCGAGAGCTATGTGTATGTGGCGTGCTTCGCCTTCGACCAGCCGGGCGTGGTGAACTACCTGGAGGCGGCTCGAGCTCGAGGCCTCACAGTCCGTCTGGTGTTCAGCGGCCGTGACAAGGCCTTGACCAACAACCAGGGGCCGCGCCTGCAGCGGCTCCGAGCCTGTGGGTGCGAGGTGCGCGCTCACAAGGGCTCGCGGCTGCACGCCAAGGTGATGATGACAGAGCGCGAGATCGTGCTGGGCAGCTGCAACTTCACGACTGCCAGCCTGGGCAACGTGGAACGCGGGGCCAGCCTGCAGGAGCTATCCGAGGAGACGGTGCTCGAGCAGAAGGAGTGGTTCGAGCAGCTGTTCGAGGCGGCGGCGCCCTTCAAGGACGGGATCGGCGAGGTGGTGCCTCCGTCGCCGGCCCGGTGAGGGCGCCGCGGGGCGCTGGAGGCCGGCTGGGCGCGAGGCCTAGCGGCCGTGGCGCTGAGGCGCGAGGCGCTGGAGGCCACCTGGGCGAGAGGCCTAGCGGCCGTGGCGCCGAGGCGTGATGCGCTGGAGGCCCGCCGGGCGAGAGGCCTAGCGGCCGCGGCGCGAGGCGCTGGAGGCCATCTGGGCGAGAGGCCCAGCGGCCGTGGCGCCGAGATGGCAGGAGCGCGGCATTTTGCTGCGCCGTCGACGCCCGGCAGCGCCGGGAGCTACGAGCGACTGCATGGCGCCGAGTTCGGCGACTTCAAGGAATTCATCGACTTCAATTTTGTGGAGCGGCACGTCGCGGAGGACGTGCCGGGGCGCCTGTGCCGCGGAGTGGTGCCCTGCTCGAGGAGAGGGGCACGTGAGGAGCGGCATGGGCGCACAGGCGGCGGAGTGCGGGCCGGCGACGACGGCCCCGGCGACGGCGGCTGCTTGCCCCGCGCCGCCGCGTGGCTCAAGAAGAGAAAGGCCCCCCTCCTCCCTCTCCTCAGAAGCGCGGGGGAGGCGCGGGGGGGCCCGCCCGGGGTCCGAGGGCCCGCAAGGGCCCGGCGGGCCCGAGGGCGGCTCGAGGAGGCCGCTCTCGAGGCCCAGGGGGGCCGAGGCTCCAGGTGAGCCTCAAGTGCTGGCCATTATAAGACGCTCGTGGGGGCACCGCCGTTTGCGAAATAAACGCCCATCTTAGGGATCGAAAACAAGACGACGAAGCACGCCCCCTTTCCCCCGCATTTCAAGGTTGATGGGGAGGGCTGGGCAGTCCAACATAAGTGGGCGTTTATTTCGCAACGCTTCGCACTCCCCTTCGGCGTGTTTGGTGGCCAACATTGAAATGCGGGGCGCGGGGCGGGGCTCCCGGTACTTCCACTCGTGGGCGTTTATTTCGCAAACGGCGGACTCATTTGCCATTGCGCCTTGCGGGCATCTGCATGGGTTGCGTTGCGCGACTGGCCCCTTCCAGTGCTTCTGAAGGCGCGTGTATATGTATATGTGTATGACTGATGCAGGAGAGAACCCCCACTCAGTTCTTTTCTGGGGCTATATGGCTATAGGGCATAGGGCTCCTGAGCAATTGGGCTCGCGGGCTATAGGGGTATGAGGCTATAGAGCTATAGGGGTAGGGCTACAGGGCTATGGGGCTGCAGGGCTGTAGGGATATAGGCCTACGGGGCAACAGGGCCATGGGGCTATAGGGCCATTAGGGTATAAGGCTGATACGCTATAGCGATATAGGGCTATAGGGCTGTAGGGCTATGGGGCTATAGGGATGTAGGGATACCCGGCTACAGGGCTATAGGGTTGTAGGGCTATAGTGCTACATGGGCTATTGGGATATAAGGCCATGGGGCTATAGGGCTATAGGGCTACAGGGCTATAGCGCTACAGGGCCATGTGGCTATTGGGCTATATGGCTATGGGGCCATATAGCTATAGGGGCATGGGGCAATGGGTTTATATGGCTGCTGGGCTGTAGGGCTACATGGCTACAGGGCTGCATGGGGTGCACGGAGCAACGCCATGCCCCTCGGATTGAAGGTCCGGGGGCGGGGGGGGCAGGCGACCGCTTATCCCAGGGGCCGCCTTAGAGCACAACTAGAGCACAACTAGAGCACAACCTAGAGCACAACCTAGAGCACAATTCATGTCATGGTAGTCTGGCACGCATTTGCGTTCGAAGGTAAAGAAAGTATAGATTCGTTTTTGTTTTTGGAAGGTTGAGTGTCATTTTCAATGAAAATATATACCTTCATGAGTTGTGCTCTAGGTTGTGCTCTAGGTTGTGCTCTAGGTTGTGCTCTAGGTTGTGCTCTAGTTGGGGCCGCCAGGCCAGACGGATCGTAGACGGGTGGCGGGCGCGGGGCGCGCGTCGTGTCGCAGGTCGCGAGCGCGGGTCGCGGGCGAAGGTCGCCGTGTTCGGGTCGCCGGTCGGAGTGGCGCCCTCGCCGCTGCGCGAATAACGCCTCGAAGGGGTAGAGTGCGATGCGAGTAGACGGAAAGCTGCATGGGAGATTAAAGGGTGGTCATCATCGTGTGTCGCCCACCGGAAACGGTTCCGCGCGGTGGCGTCCGCGCGAATGGCCTCAGCATTTGCGTTGACGGCGCTGAAATGCACCGCATGCACGTGCGTGTATGCCTGGTCGTATTCAAAGCATAGGGGAAAGGTCATATGGAGTGTACATAATTGGTACGAACAGTGTGTGTGTATACACGTCTAGTATACATGCATACATTATGTATTAAATATTAATGTATGTATGTAATGTAAATGTAAGTATAATATATATCGGGTGTAATAGAACATATGAACAGAATGTGCAGCGCTGGCCATTATGATGACAGCTGTGGGGGCACGCCGTTTGCGAAATAAACGCCCCATCTTAGGGATCGAAAACAGACGACGAAGCACGCCCCCTTTCCCCTGTATTTCAAGGTTGACGGGGAGGGCTGGGCAGTCCAACATAAGTGGGCGTTTATTTCGCAACGCTTCGCACTCCCCTTCGGCGTGTTGTGGCCAACATTGAAATACGGGGCGCGGGGCGGGGCTCTCGGTACTTCCACTCGTGGGCGTTTATTTCGCAAACGGCGGACTCATTTGCCATTGCGCTTTGCGGGCATCTGCATGGGTTGCGTTGCGCGACTGGCCCCTTCCAGTGCTTCTGAAGGCGCGTGTATATGTATATGTGTATGACTGATACGAGAGAGAACCCCCACTCAGTTCTTTTCTGGGGCAATATGGCTATATAGGGCGCCTGAGCAATTGGGCTCGCGGGCTATAGGGGTATGAGGCTATAGAGCTATAGGGCTAGGGCTACAGGGCTATGGGGCTGCAGGGCTGTAGGGATATAGGCCTACGGGGCAACAGGGCTATAGGGTATAGGGCTGATACGCTATAGCGATATAGGGCTATAGGGCTATAGGGCTATGGGGCTATAGGGATGTAGGGATACCCGGCTACAGGGCTATAGGGTTGTAGGGCTATAGTGCTACATGGGCTATTGGGATATAGGGCCATGGGGCTATAGGGCTACAGGCTATAGGGCTAAGCGCTACAGGGCCAATATGGCTATTTGGGGCTATATGGCTATGGGGCCATATAGCTATAGGGGCATGGGGCAATGGGGCTATATGGCTGCTGGGCTGTAGGGCTACATGGCTACAGGGCTGCATGGGGCGCACGGAGCAACGCCATGTCCGTCGGATTGAAGGTCCGGGGGCGGGGGGGGCAGGCGACCGCTTATCCCAGGGGCCGCCTTAGAGCACAACTAGAGCACAACTAGAGCACAAGCTAGAGCACAACCTAGAGCACAACCTAGAGCACAATTCATTTCATGGTAGTCTGGCACGCATTCGCGTTCGAAAGTAAAGAAAGTATAGATTCTTTTTTTGTTTTTGGAAGGTTGAGTGTCATTTTCAATGAAAATATATACCTTCATGAGTTGTGCTCTAGGTTGTGCTCTAGGTTGTGCTCTAGGTTGTGCTCAAATTGGGGCCGCCAGGCCAGGCGGATCGTAGACGGGTGGCGGGCGCGGGGCGCGCGTCGTGTCGCAGGTCGCGAGCGCGGGTCGTGGGCGAAGTTCACCGCCGTTTACGAAATAAACGCCCATCTTAGGGATCGAAAACAAGACGACGAAGCACGCCCCCTTTCCCCCGCATTTCAAGGTTGACGGGGAGGGCTGGGCAGTCCAACATAAGTGGGCGTTTATTTCGCAACGCTTCGCACTCCCCTTCGGCGCGTTTGGTGGCCAACATTGAAATACGGGGCGCGGGGCGGGGCTCTCGGTACTTCCACTCGTGGGCGTTTACTTCGCAAACGGCGGACTCATTGCCATTGCGCTTTGCGGGCATCTGCATGGGTTGCGTTGCGCGACTGGTCCCTTCCAGTGCTTCTGAAGGCGCGTGTATATGTATATGTGTATGACTGATACGGGAGAGAACCCCCACTCAGTTCTTTTCTGGGGCTATATGGCTATAGGGTATAGGGCTCCTGAGCAATTGGGCTCGTGGGCCATAGGGGTATGAGGCTATAGAGCTATTGGGTTAGGGCTACAGGGCTATGGGGCTGCAGGGCTGCAGGGATATAGGCCTACGGGGCAACAGGGCTATGGTGCTATAGGGCCATTAGGGTATAGGGGTGATACGCTATAGCGATATAGGGCTATAGGGCTATGGGGCTATAGGGATGTAGGGATACCCGGCTACAGGGCTATAGGGTTGTAGGGCTATAGCGCTACATGGGCTATTGGGATATAGGGCCATGGGGCTATAGGGCTACAGGGCTATAGCGCTACAGGGCCATATGGCTATTGGGCTATATGGCTATGGGGCCATATAGCTATATGGGGCATGGGGCAATTGGGCTATATGGCTGCTGGGCTGTAGGGCTACATGGCTACAGGGCTGCATGGGGTGCACGGAGCAACGCCATGTCCGTCGGATTGAAGGTCCGGGGGCGGGTGGGGGGCAGGCGAACCGCTTATCCCAGGGGCCGCATTAGAGCACAACTAGAGCACACTAGAGACAAACAACCAAGAGCACAACCTAGAGCACAACCTAGAGCACAATTCATTTCATGGTAGTCTGGCACGCATTCGCGTTCGAAAATAAAGAAAGTATATATTCTTTTTTGTTTTTGGAAGGTCGAGTGTCATTTTTTATGAAAATATATACCTTCATGAGTTGTGCTCTAGGTTGTGCTCTAGGTTGTGCTCTAGGTTGTGCTATAGTTGGGGCCGCCAAGCCAGACGGATCGTAGACGGGTGGCGGGCGCGGGGCGCGCGTCGTGTCGCAGGTCGCGAGCGCGGGTCGTGGGCGAAGGTCGCCGTGTTCGGGTCGCCGGTCGGAATGGCGCCCTCGCCGCCGCGCGGAAATGACGCCTCGAAGGGGTAGAAGTGCGAGGCAGACTAGACGGAAGCTGCATGGGAGAGTAAAGGGGGTCATCAGCGGCGCGTCGCCACCGGACGGTTCCGCACGGGTGGCGTCGCGCGAATGGCCTCGCATTGCGTGGCGGCGTGAATGCATGCGCGCACGTGCATGTATGAATGGGTGTATGCAAGCGTAGGGGAAAGGCATGTGGAAGTGTAAATAGATTGCACAGACACACTTATGTTTACACGTCTATATACACATACAACATATGTATGTATATACATGTATATGTACATATGAAAATGTGCAGCGCTGGCCATTATAAGACGCTCGTGGGGGCACCGCCGTTTGCGAAATAAACGCCCATCTTAGGGATCGAAAACAAAACGACGAAGCACGCCCCCTTTCCCCTGTATTTCAAGGTTGACGGGGAGGGCTGGGCAGTCCAACATAAGTGGGCGTTTATTTCGC